AAAACATTGGAACGGCAGCGATACAGCAACATATTACTAGTATTGTATACAGATAGAGCCTTCCCTCGAATCACTCGCATCAACATCTGTTGCATAGTTTTGAATATCTAAGTATACATAGGGACAGACAGCGTGAAGCGACTTCTTTTTATACTAATAGTGATTTTGAATAATGAATGAACTATTTATAATTCTGTTTCAGCTATATTGACCGTTATTCTGTTATATGTAGCATTATATCTACTCGTCTATTGCATTTTTCGACTGTGGAGGAAATTTATACCAAAAGTCGTGGAACACGACAAAAAGGCTCCGAAGAAAAGAGTACAGTCTCTTGACACTTTTAGAGGGTGAATATTTTTCTTGTATTGATTTCGTAATGAAAAATTACCTTCTGATGATTTTCAAATGACTTTAAAATTAAGTTAAGAAAAGAAAGTAAATTTTCACTTCATTTATGGATAATTCACACGAAAAAGACAAAAAAATGTTTCTTTTCATTAAATATTGGAGTACGAGTACTCTTATACGAGTACTCTTGTCCAAATATAAAAAATACCTCTCTCACAATATGGAATTGTCAACAGAAACTTTAGCAGGTTTTGATTTCAGATTGACTATTGTTACCATGATATTTGCAAATTTTGGATGTGGTGGATACGGAATTATTGAACATGCTAAGTGGAATGGTCTTCATCTGGCTGACTTGGTTTTCCCTTCGTTTGTATGGATAATGGGAGTGTGTATACCGATCAGTTTGTCCTCTAGTTTCAAAAGAAATGTTCCTGATAAAACCTTGATATTCAATATCACAAAGGTAAATAAATCAACTAATTAACATATATTGTCAGTGACAATTGAATAAAATAGTGGCACCGCTGCAAAATCGTTTCGGTAGTTCATGAAATAATTTCTGTTTCATTTCATTTCACAGACGGATAGTCGTCAAGACGCAACTTACAGTCAGGATGCCACACCGATCTAAATATTTTTTTCATTTCTTGTAACGCCTAATTCCATCTACGATTATAATCTATCACATTTTCTCTCTGTGAATATTTCCGTTGCAACATTTTTCGAAAGAAATGTAGTATAAAAATCACTTTTTAAAAAATGTTATATCAAGAAGAATTCACAAAGCTAGAAATAATGCAGAACTCTTCAGTTTGATGTGTTGATGAATATTGGAAAAACCTGTTTCATGAACAGTATAAACCAATGTTTATCAAACGCCAGATGGTTGCTGGAATATTTAAAAAAAATACGTACATGGAAGATACCACTAGTGTTCCTAGTATGAAAGGTGCTTCAATTAAAGCGTTCGCAGAAGTTATTGAGGAATTGTGGTCAAAAGATTTATCTGATAGAATTTAACATTGCCTACTTTGAAAATCAGATTCAGTGATTTGCCAGTCGATTTATGGTATCTTCTCATCAAGACGTCCAGGAATTCCTTCGATATCTTTCAAAAGGTTCATATGAGGACCTCAATAGAATTACTAAGAAACCTGAACCGATCTTAAGGGAGATTGACGAAAAATTGAGTGATAGCGGATAAGCGCAAGAGTCCTGGGTGAGATGTTTGAACATGAACAACTCTAAGTGTGTGTGTGGTTTCAAAATCTTGCTATCGAAATTACTGTTTTACAAGTGAATTCAATTTTTTTAGTATTGAGCCTAGAGTTTCCAGCTCTAAAATTCATACAACGAAACAGATTGTTTAATGGCATTTTTTTTATTTTATTTTATTATTAAATTTCACAAAAAGGATTCGAAGCTTCATATCTTCTATTAATTATCTGCGAGCGCTTTCGACAGATGGTCGTACTGTCATCTTCTAGGCACTCGTCAAACTGAACTTGTCATCCTGTCGTCTGCCTCTTTATACGGTCAGAACGTCTCAACTCAGGTATTTCAGGTACTATAGGTAAATTTTCCTGTAATTGTACTGCATCAGGTACTATTCTTTGTGTTAGATCTTCTCTAGAAATATGAATTATTTTGTTTAATATATTGAATGTGAGGTCTTGTTGTGTTTTGATTTGTACTTGTTCCTCGATGAGTGATTTATGACTGTTAAATTTATGGATGTTCAAGTTTTCCCAAATGTCCATGCGGTTTCCCTTGTTGACTTGTTTTATGAGTTTTATGTTCTCTGGTGTGGGAAAATTATGTTCGTTTTGTATGGCGTGTGTTGCGAGGTTTGATTTATATACTATTGGATTTATGTATGCCTTTTTGTGCTCATTATACCTTTGGATCAGTTTTTTGTTGGTTTGGCCGATATAGAATTTGTTGCAGTTGGAGCATTGTATACTGTATATCCCGTTTTGGTCTTTGTCTTCTTCTTTTTCATAGTTGTTTATTTTTTGTGTTATCTTCGTGTTTGGCTTGTATGTGATGTTGATGTTCAGTGGTTTGAAAACGTTTGTTAGTTTCTTGGTTTGGTGTCCTACGTACGTAAATGCTGTCCATCGTTGTGTTGTTTTGTTTGTTGGGGTGGTTTGATCATTGTTCTGTATTTTTTGTTTGATTCTGTTTTCTAGTTTATCTATTGTCTTTTGGGTGTATCCGTTTTCGTTCGCTATTTGGTATATGACTTTCCGTTCTTTGTTTCGGGCTTCATTGCTAAGTGGTATCCTTAACATTCTATATATGAATGCGTTATAGGCAGCCATTTTGTGTGATGGTGGATGGTTTGAACTTGCGGGTATGGTGGAGCTTGTTTGTGAAGGTTTCCTGTATATTGCCATTCAAAATTGTGTTTTGTTGTGGTTATATCCCATTATATCACAATTTCAAATACAGAAAAAAATACTCGGACTGCAACAAATTCTATATCGGCCAAACCAAGAAAAAACTGATCCGAAGGTACAATGAACACAAAAAGGCATACATGAATCCAATAGTATATAAATCAAACCTCGCAACACACGCCATACAAAACAAACATAAAACTCATGAAACAAGTCAACAAGGGAAACCGCATTTAGGAAAACTTGAACATCCATAAATTTAACAGTCATAAATCACTTATCCAGAAACAATTGCAAATCAGAACACAACAAGACCTCACATTCAATATATCAAACAAAACCATACACATTCCTAGAGAAGATCTAACACAAAGAAGAGTAACTGATGCAGAACAAATACAGCCAAATTTACGTAAAGTACCTGAAATACCTGAGTTAAGACGCTCTGACCGTATAAAGAGGCAGAAAACAGGATGACTAGTTCAGTTTCAGGAGTGCCTAGGAGATGACAGTACGACCAGCTGTCGAAAACGCTCGCAGATAATTAATAGAAGATATAAAGCTTCAAATCCTTTTTGTGAAATTTAATATTAAAATACTGAAAATGAAGGAAAATTAGTTGCATCATTCAAAAAAATTTTTATTTTATTTATTGTTAACTGATCTTGTTTGAGCTATTCAATTCTTCATTACTCCCAAGGGTTTCCCAATCGGTGTTTTCCAGTTGGTCTCCTAATGTACGGGTCTTTTCTAATCCACTCATCCCCATAAAATTCAATATTGTCGAATATCTTTTCTCAAGCAACTCTTATATTTGAATCTGCTTCACGTAAATATTGTATGCGACAAATAGCCAGATTTTTAAATTACTCAATTGTTCCTTGCATCACTTATCTTGGAAATTATGACCTTTCCTACCTATGTTAATTTAAACCTCTGTCTATCCCTACAATGACGAATCTGACCTCTTCTCTAACAATCGATGTGAAACATTGCATTTTGTAAAATAATTCATTACGTTTCAAATGTTGTAAGAACAAAATGGAGTGTCAGTTTCGACTCAACGTTGATCCGGATGATGATATTGACCGTGATATTCGGCTGGAACAACGGCTTCGGCGCATCCTTAGGAAAAATGATGACGACGTGACCCGTCCAGCTTCAGAGGAAGAACTGAAGGGGTACATCAGGGCCTCCAAACCCAAGAAGGCACCGGAAATTGATTCAATCAACAACAGATTGTTGAAGCAGCTCCCGGAGAAATTCATCAGATACCTGCTGGACATTATCAACAGCTCAATCACTCTCAGACACTTTCCTCGAAGATGGAAGCATGACGTAGTTGTCATAATTCTGAAACAGGGCCAGAACCTGCTGTTTCCCCAGAATCATCTTCCAAGTAGTTGCTCAACGGCTAAGTTGGCTGAACATGTTGTGCTGCAAAGGCTAACAGAAGAAGTTGAAGACCGAAATGTTCTGCCTGACGAACTATTCGGCTTCAGGAGGGCACACTCCACAGAGCTGCAGGCCCTGAGACTGGTCGAAAATTCCATCTCAGAGCTGAACAACAGGAAGACAGTCCATCTCGTCCTCCTGGATATTTCGAAACCCTTCGATCGAGCCTGGCACGAAGGCCTGCTACACAAAATGCTCGATTTCGATCTGCCTCCTGATCTGGTCCGGTGCCTTTCTGAAAGGCAGAACATTTTAGGTCCGAGTTGAAGGAATCCTGTCTCTCGTCAGGGAAATCAAAGCTGGAGTGCCTCAGGGAGCTGTGCTGTCTCCACTACTGTACAGCCTTCACGTGAGCGACCTTCCGAGGTCTCCCCAAGTCTATCTCAGGAGATAGACTTGGGGAGACGTAAAGTTTCTCCAGACACAACGGTCACGATTTCAGGCAGGGAGATCGAATGGCAAACGCGAGTCAAGTCTTTGGGTAGACCGCCGACTCACCTGGGCATATCACATTGATTATATCAAGAGCAAAGTGCAGATGAGAAAAGCTGAACTCTATCCTCTGGTCAATAGAAATTCAAAACTCAATCTTAAGAGTAAGATTTTACTATACAACACGATGTTCAAGCCTGTCATTATGTATGCTTCAAGTGCTTGGGGACAAACCGCCTCGTCAAACCTCTCCATTTTGGAAAGGTTGCAGAATAAACTTCTCAGGATGCTGGTGAATGCTCCATGGTTCGTGCGGAATGAAGCCACCCGCAGAGATTTGAAGCTGATAACTATACGGCAGTCCATTCAGTCGAGGAATCAGAGAGTTTTCGAGTCAGCGGAAACTCATGATAACCCATTAGTTAGGGAAGCTGTAAATTACACTATAGACGACCCCACTCGATTCAGAAGGCCCCGTCGCTCGGTTGAGTGAAGGCCCCATGACGTCTGTTAAAATGTACCTCAGTCAGGAAGGGCAAGGCCAGAACGGCATAGAGGTTATTGACCTTCATGTCGCCACCAAATTACCTTACGTTATGAACCATTCGTCCTCCTGACGAATCTCAGTTGGAAAGGTAAGGGAAAAAATTTCCAACTTGATGAAAATGAAGATGACCCAGATGAAATGTTGTGAGAGTACAGTAAGAATTGAATCTTGTCTTGTCTACAGTACATCCTGCCAGTTAGTTTTCTTATTCTATCTTTTTACAAGAGTTATTGTGATTCTTGTGTGCATTAGGCATTCATACACATGATGAAATAATCGTGGGTCTAAACACTAAGATTGTAGACAATTTCGTTGTTCAATTAAAATCCGCTATGAAGTGCACACACTGTGGTCACTCATCAGTAACCTTTGATCCTTTCTGGGATTTGTTCCTCCCCATACCACAAAGAACTGGCCAATTGGGTTTCTTACAATGTTTGGATTTCCTTACAATAAAAAAAAACTCTAGATAGAGATGAAAAACCAACGAATTCAAAGTGCAAGGAAAGTAGAAAATACACAAAGTCCTTATCAATCCATAAATTTTCCCGTATTTTAGTGAATTACATAAAAAGATTCTCTTCAACGGAAAAATTCAGAGGCAAAGTGAATGTTGACATTGACGTTATTTTAGAAGCATTGGATATGGGCAACTATGCTGCAGACAATATGTCCCCAATTTCACCGAAATTACTTGTAAGTGAGGAGGATATGTCCTCTTTTATGTCAAAGAGTGAATGAAGCAGCACTTTTAAGATGTTTTTTTTTTCATTAACTAAATTCTATTAACTGATTTATATTTCATATTTCATTATTCCTATTTCAAGAAAAAACATTTTCTATAACGTGAAGTATGTCTAATTTCGAACATGAACAAAATAGCACTGTTTTATCTGTCCATCAGACTTCTGGAAATCATAGTAAAACAGTTTACAAAGATTTATCTTCATTTCTCCTATAATTGTTTCTCAATATTTGATTTATTTCTTCCAGAGATCCATAAAATTATTTTGTTTAGGAATATTCCTGAACAGTGGAGCCGATCTCAATTATCTTCGATTATTTGGAGTTCTGCAACGTTTCAGCATTGCCTATTTTGTCGTTTCGATAGTGTGTATATATAGTATGGACAGATCGCAAGAGCAGCCCGAGCAGGTGAATTTATTTTTGAAATATTGTTTCATGTTGTATACTTTTCGAAACAATGACATTTGATATGAATACTCACTAGATTTTCCGTGAATTAAAATTCAATCGATAACCATCCGTAGGAAACTTGAGAGGGGAAAGTTTGTCGAAACTTCTCGATATTGTATCCTACTAGAAAATACACACATCGGAAAAGTCTAGGGATATTTTTATAACATACTAAATATCACAAAAATAAATGCATGAGGTCGTTTAATTTCGATTAAATTGGTACAGTTTGTGACTTATCCGCATAGACCAATGACTTTACATAGCCCCACAGAAAGTAGTCTAGCGATGTTAAATCACAAGATCTTGGAGACCAATTCACAGGTCCAAAACGTGAAATTAGGCGGTCACCAAACGTGTCTTTCAATGAATCTATTGTGGCACGAGCTGTGTGGCATATTGCACCGTCTTATTGAAACCACATCTCCTGGACATCATGGTTATTCAATTCAGGAATGAAAAAGTTAGTGATCATTACTCTATACCGATCACCATTGACTGTAACGTTCTGGCCACCATCGTTTTTGAAAAAGTACGGACCAATGATTCCACCAGCCCATAAAGCGCACCAAACAGACAGTTTTTGTGGATGTAACGGTGTTTTGACATACACTTGAGGATTACCTTTACTCCAAATGCGACAGTTTTATTAGTTAACGTAGCCATTCAACCGGAAGTGCGCTTCATCGCTAAACAAAATTTGCTTATGAAAATTGGGGACAACGGTAATCTCGTTTTGGGCCCATTCGACGAATCTACGCCTTACTTGATGATCGTTTGGCTTCAATTCTTGTACGAGTTGGATTTTGTAAGCACGCAAACCAAGATCCTTCCGCAAAATCTTCCATAAAGTGGATGAACACAAATCCAATTCCTGTGCTCGATGGCGGATGGACTCCTCCGGGTCTTCCTCAATGCTACGCTGTACAGCAGCAAAAGCTTCTTCTGTACGCACCGCACGGCGTCTCTGGGGATGAGAGTTATCAATAAGAGTAAACGTGGTGCGGAAACGTTCCTGGTTAATCGAATTAACTGCTCTGATGGACGATTTTGTCGACGATAAAATGGACTAGTAAAACCAAAAACTAAATGAGAATATTCTAACTGAACAATGATGTTCATTGTCGTACTGACATGTTTTGTCATTTTTATCAACAAAAAATAACTCAACAAACCTTATCGTGTTGTTGGAATTGCTATATGGCATATAAAAATGAATACTTCTAGAAATATCAATATTAATGTTTTTGTCTTCAGGAAATTATTAAATTTGTAGTAGGTGAAGATATTGACTTGATATTCTAGGGTTGTGAAGTCTTCGTCATGAGCTTCAAAATGGTGTGTCACAAGACCCCCTTTCCATTCAGATTTTTCCCAGATGGCACCCAGTCGCCATCTTGAAAGTTTCATCTGTCAATTTCACTTCAAAATAAAGTATTCATGCATTTATTTCATTATCCCAAATTTCAATTTTTTGAGACGACTCTTTTAAAAAATTAAAGGGAGGGGGACATCAATGAAGTGCACTGCATAGTGTATTCACTAATCGATAGAAAACTTTTTACTCTTTACATTGATGTTGTTTATTTTCTCCTCTTTTCCTTCTTTCCTCTTCATTACCATATGATGTTGCTGAGCCATTTTGGGCCAATTTTTCTTGAAGAATTGAACCAAAGCGCTGCCAAAACAGCATAAACATCAAACAGGTATTTGGCAATGAATTTCGTACTGGAAATTCAAGTCTCGAAGTTGAGCTACAAAGTGGTCAATTTGCAGTAATCCCGGACGAGAATTTGAGGACTCTGGTGAAGACTGACCTGTCACAAATAGTGCATGAGTTGCTGGAGTTTTTTCCCAACACCAAACCGTTATTTCAATACCCCAATACGCGTTTCGATCACCAAGTGATCATCTTCGAGAGGATGATCTCGTTTGATCTTCGTTGAGTTCGGTGAAGTTCGGACTTCCATTGTGTAATATGATATAAAATGATTTGAAATTCCTGAATGGATCGCTTTAAATAACGATTATATCAAGCAAAGGACCCTGAAATGAAATTACAATAAAATACAAGCAACAATTAAAAACTGAACAATAAGAAAATAAATAAAAATTGAAAGATTTCAAGTCAAGTTACTTCACTAACGATGTTTCGATTGTTAGTATCCACAATCGTCTTTGGGTGAGTGAGTCATCACCCAGTGCAGTATTTTCCAGACATATTTGATCAAAATTATCACTGTTTCACCATGGAGCATTACAATATTGAAGATTTTTTGCAATGAATATGTGGCACAATACATCATTTTTCATCAGAATATCTATTAAAAATTGTGAGTGAATCGTCACACAAATCCTGGATATAATATATGCAGAATGACAAATGTTGATTTGTCTAATTTTTCGAAAGATATTTTTCAGTAGAGAAGTTGAATTTTGGGTTTTCCATTTGTCAAAATTTGAAAAATTAAAAAGCCAAGCCAACAGATAATCTAATGAGTTTTCGAAAATTCAATCACAGTTTATTTCAGGGCATTTTTGCAGATATTATGCGAATATGGAAAGGATGGGTGGTAGTTATTTCAATTTTGGTGACTCATACTGCTGTGATATTCACAGTAGCTGCCCCAAAATGCCCGAGGTACTATGTCTTGAATGTCTATACTCTCTTGTACTCTATATCAGATGACATATTGCAGGGGATACATGGGACCAGGAGGACTACACGAAAATCTTGCACATAAAAACTGTATAGGGGGAGCAACAGGTTACATAGATGGACTGATATTGGGTAATCATAGATACCAGAATCCCACTATATATTCTGTATACGAAGCTAAACCGTTCGATCCTGAGGGAATAGTGGGTATGTATTCCTGGTGCTTATATTATTTACGAGATGAGAAAAAAATGTCAACGAATTGAAATTAGAAGAAATTGGCTTTCATTATGAGTTTATGATATGTAATATTCCATTTCTCTACTTTTCATTTCATACTGTTTGTGAGACAACCTGAACATGAAAGAACCTTTGTTTTTTCATCAGTTCGGACTTCTATCGTCTAATATAATATAAATTGATTTGAAAGTCCTGAAAAAAAAATTAAAAGGATTAACCGAAAAATGTAATTACAAAGATATAACAAACAAGCAACAACCAAAAAAATAAAAATTGAAATATTAATAAAACGTGACAATTAAAAAATTAAAAAATTTTATTAACAAAAAATGAAAAATGAAAATAAAAAGATTCCAAACAAAGTTACGTCATGACGTTTCGATTGTTGGTATCCACAATCGTCTTTGGGTGATAACTGGATTCATTCCTCCAAATTCTGATTATTTATAGGTCATTTGAGTGCTTTCACCTATCTCCTCTTCCCTCTCTCCACTTCATTGGTTTTAGCGGGAGATGACCGTTTGGCGGGAGTTGGTCGTTTTTCGCTTGATTAGAGGTTTCCATATGTTACGTATCTCTACGCTAGCCTGACTAAATGCGTTGTTGGATAACATATACGCGGCTTCTTTGAATGTTTTTCTGAACCAGTGTTCCTCTTTATGGATGATTTCAGCTTGAGCCCACTTGATGTTATGTTGATGAGTCTAAACATGCTCTGCTATTCCGGATTTGCTAGTTTCTCCTCACTATGTGTGTTTCTTGTGCTCAGCAATGCGAACTTTCAATGGCCTCTTAGTTTCACCGATGTATGATTCTCCGCGGTAAATGCAATTCTTGGAATCGCAGTCCACGTTTGGTGGCCTTGTTTTCGTGAGGCTGATACGGATAGTGTTCCCAGATCTGAAGCAGGTCCTGATATTATACTTAGACCCAATCCTTATCATCCTTTCCGATTATCCTCTGAAGTAAGAAAGTACAAGTACTGGTTGAGGCGGTGTCGTCTACGTATCTCAACCAGACTCGGGGCTTCTTGTGAGCTTCTTTGAAACTCTGGCCATTGAAGAAGCCCACGAGAAGCCCCAAATCTGGTAAACATACGTAGATGACACCTTCATAATATGGAACCATGAGAATGCAGAACTAGACACTTCCCTGAAGCACATCAACAACATAAGTCCTTCCACACAGGACAGTATCTGAACCAGAAATCCAACCACCATCAATCGACTAGGAGAGAAATCGTCAAGACTCTACTTCATCGTGCTTTCGAGCCACAACCAGTACTTGTACTTCCTTACATCAGAGGATTATCGGAAAGGATAAGAAGGATTGGAATCGCGGACAGCGATTCCAAGAATTGCATTCATCGGATAACCTGCGAGTGCGGAGAATCATACATCAGTGAAACTAAGAGGCCATTGAAAGTTTGCGTTGCTGAGCTCAAGAAACACACAGCGAGGAGAAACCAGCAAATCCGGAATAGCAGAGCGTGTTTTCAGTCATCAACATAATATCAGAAGCCGCGCATATGTTGTCCAACAACTCATTTAGTTAAGCTAGTGTAGAGATACGTAATATATGGAAACCTCTAATCAAGCGAAAAACGACCAACTCCCGCCAAACGGTCATCTCCCGCTGAAACCAATGAAACGGAGAGAGGGAAGAGGGGATGAGTGAAAGCACTCAAATGACCTATAAATAGTCATATCTCGGAGGAATAAGTCACCCGAAGATGATTGTGGATACTAACAATCGAAACGTCATGAAGTAACTTGGTTTGGAATCTTTCAATTTTTCATTTTTCGTTAATAATATTTTTGAATTTTTTAAATATCAGCTTTTATTAATATTCCGATTTTTTTTTGGTCATGTTATTTCTCAGTAATTTCAGTTTTTTGTTCAATAAAATTGTTGTTTTCGGTCAATCTTTTTAATTTTTTTTAGGGATTTCAAATCAATTTATATTATATTAGACAATGGAAGTCCGAACTGATGAAATAAAGGAAACTTTTTTTGTCAATTTCGACTTGTAGATTGTAACATACAAATCATTTGAATTTTTATTCTCACAGATCTGGCATTCTCCTGATCAGTCTGTAGTATTACTGCAAATAAATCAAAATTAGAATGCTGACACTGCCATTATTCAAACTCACTTCAAAGTTACGTATACAAATTATTGTAAACAAGTAATTCTCTTCTTCTGTTCAGTCATATACTTGATTTTCATAGTGATAGAAGTAGAGAGAGAGGTGAGTTACAGACAGAGAATTTTACCTTCAGTAATGTCATACTTAGAATCGATGGGCGTCCTGTGTATGAAGGGACGGAAGTAACAGGTGGTAGCATTGCCTGAACTTTGAACCGATAGCGATTCTATGAGTAAAGAAAGCATATTTGAGAAAATCTATTGAGAACACTTACCCATCACCAGAACAAAAATTACGGTCTCTCGACGCGCGTTTCGCTAAACAAGTTAGCGTCCTCAGGACATCATTATAACTCATACGCACAATCACATTTGACAGAGATTTTTTGGGCCTGGACCTGAGAACACACAGTTTCGAGAATCATTCATCAGAATTAATTCCAACGTTTGAGTTGTGCCAGGTAGAAGCATACAAGCATAAATAGCATAAGAGCATAAAAAGCAATACGAGCATTGAATCATAAAAAAGCCAAGTATAAAAACAACTGAAAACATAAAAACAAGAATAAATTGTAAAATCGACACATGGTTCCTAGGTTGCTACTGCTGGAGACTACCGGAGTCCCTGATCTTGGAAATCAGAGGTGTCTAGTTGGAACAGTGTGAAACAAAACTCTTGAATTTTCTTGATCTTGATGGTTTCTGGATATAGAATTCCGATCAGAAGTTGTAAGGTTGAATCGTAGGGTAAGACCCTGCATTTTGTTCCTTTTCCTATGAAACCAACCATTGGAAAAGGTAGAAAATTCCAGAATTCTGACACTCTGATTTCTCTTCATAGTTGCAGTTCAAATTCAATGAAAATTATTCATTATTTTCATTCATTCACTTATTTCAAAGATCTAGATGTAAACCCTTATCAAAATTCTCGAGTAAACTATATTCGTTGTCTCATTGGTATGTTTGAAGTGTCATCTATCCCGGTGTAACTCAGTTGGTCTACAGTGACAGTGACAGGTGTTGAGAAGTGGAACAGTTTTTTATAAACTTCTGTTGATGGTGTTCGAATAAAAGCTTTTGATTTGGTGAATCTTTCCTATGCAAAATTGTGAGCCGTCACGGTACGCCTGGCAGATATGAAACATCAATAAGGATATTTTGTGATCCCTTCCTGTGATGATTGTTGCGCACAGAAATATTTATAAAAAAATATATGTGACTTCAATATACTAGTAATCTATATATTAATGGAGATCCGAAATTATGAATATCGATAATAAGTGTTTCGCCATCATTAGAAAATTAATTAATTGATAACAAATAAGAAAAACATACGTGCGCTACTCGCTATCAGCTGATTTTGTAATACAATTTTGTCAGTTTTTCTGAAATTTATTCTTTGAGCAAGTATTTTAGTGCAATATTTTCCATGAAAATGAAATAGAAATGATTATTCAATATAAAAATATTATATGCTATGAAAATTATGTAAGAGAGTAGATTTTATGTTTAGTGATCCTTGAGACAGACCAAATATACGCGGGATCAATGCACTTCAATTATAAATTATAAAAATATTATCAAGGTCATTTGAGTG